TCTGATGCAATATGCCGATATTGCTCTTCTGTAGGTTCACTTAAATATATTGGTGATAGTAGTTGCCAAATAATATCACACATTTCCAACACGGTGTTTCTAACTGTAGTTCTTCCCAATTTATAGCTCCATGCTAAACTCTGTAAAGGGACGCCATGTGCCAAATACCTTTATGTTTAGAAACAAATTACAAGCTTGCACAGTCAATTCATTTTGATTATACATATTTGTTAATAATTTACTTAAACTATTGTTAATTATTTCACTTTCAACAAAAATGACACATAATTTCACTACACTTGCGGACACTCAACTACCGACTGGAACTTTTGAAAATATTTCATTTGCATGTTCCAATGTAAACAAAGTCAGCTGCTTACTTACCGTCTAACACCGCCTTAACTTAAAGCGAAATTTTCATTTCGTTTCTTCTTAACATCTTACGTTAACTACCGTCTAACTGAACCTTAAAGATCTCTACGGCATGTAACGTAAGAATCGAAGACAAATATGGAGAAAAATTGGTCGTCTTGTTGGTAAAGCAATGCACACATACAAATGTCCAGCCAATGAGGGAATATGGAACAACGACCTTCCCTAAAAATGTGTTCTTAGTAATATTTTATAATGTAAATCAGGTTTATCGAATGGATTATAGTAAATATTAATAACTGATGCCGAAGGTATGGGCTGGTTCACGAGCAAGCAGTCTTGTGCAACAATTGATAACAGATTCCCGATTGAGATTTCTTTAAGCAAATGATTTACTAACAGATATTGGAATGGAACATCATTCGTCTTATTTTTGTTTGCTCATCAGTTTTTATAGGGTGGTGTTAAAATGATAATTTAAACAAATTGTTAAAAAATAAAAGGTAATTTTCATATACAAAGTTGTTTAAGTGCTTCTATCTATCCGGCTTACAAGCTGCGACCATTAATGTATGTCATAGCAAAACAATTTTTATTATAATTGTATAATAAAATGTAGAAATGTGTAATGTAGTACATATTTTTTTCCATAAATTAAGTTGAATTTTATAAATGAATGCATTATTAAACTTGTCAAACATCGAATTTACATGAATTATAAAATATTTTTTTAAATAATTCATAATTTTTTTTAGGCTACAATGCCAACAACAATTCAGTCAGTAGGTATCAGAGTCTCGGGCACTATAGCTTTTTGACGCTGCTTGTTTAATATATGTATGTACATTAAAATATATATTTTTCAATACATCGCCATTTGACTATTTGGCGCCCAGGATATGACATGTCTCTCTTCCCTGTTTACTACATCAAGGAACTCAGTTTGACTTAAATTGAATGAATAAACTCAATATAGGCCAAATAGCTTTAACGGTATTGTGAAAGAGAATAGCTCTACACAAATAATAAAATTATGTTTTACATGCCTAAATTCAGGTTTAAAGCGATAAAGTATGAAAATATGTATATTTATAAGGTGCGATACATTCAAACGTCCGTAAAAATGTATTTATAAATAAGTATTATTTTACAATCGCTAAATAAGAATAAGACCTAATGGAAAATAATTTGGAATGAAACATATAACATTTAAATAATATTGTAAGGCAAATAACATTTTATTTAAAAAATTTCGTTATTTCATGGAATCGTTTTCTCGTTGCTAGGTGTGTTCAATTCGAAACAGTGTTGCATTTAATATAAGCGCAAACAAAAATTGAGACAACACACACGGTTGAACTGCAAACACGCACACGCCAGTGTGGTTACAACAATTGATAAAGCGCTATTATGGTTTTTTAATAGCAATAATTTAATGATGCATTTTGTTTAAATCTATTATTCTGAACAACTTTTGCCACTACGCTATATAAAAATATTGAAATTGAATATTGAAAGAATATATTGAAATTGCAAAAACTTTCAATTTTTAAAAAACAGTTTTGAAACACAGTTGTTTTAAATCGTGGTTTGGGTAATCTACGTAAAAATTTATCTAGTTATTGTGAGTAGATATCATAATTACTTTTTGTTTATCAATGTAAATATTTGCAGTGTTAACGCACCATATTTGCAAAACCAAACTAATTTAGAATATAACGCGCTGTTCTGAACTGTTCTCATCAAGCCGAGGCGACTTGGAAACTGCAAGTGCGCCATTAAAGTTATTTCTTTTCTAAAAATTACACTATATTGTATTTTATAAGAACCGCATATTATCAAGAAAATTTTTTTAAACAAATACATTTCTACATATAATCTATATAGTTTTATGTACATATATATATAAATTTAACAACTGCTCATTTCAAGACTAAAACAATTATAGCAAATTATTTACCATAAGATTAAAAACATTTGTTGAAAAAAGATGTAAAAATATAATAATTTCATGACAAAATTGTTTTTCATTGGATTTAAATATAGTTGGGAGGGGAGAAGCGCGCTGCCTACAGTATATAAAATATATGTAACAGTATACAAAATATTGTTTCTTACAAGCATATATTTCATTTTATGTATAAAAAAATATATATATTTTACCTAATACTGTCTTGTCAAATCATTTTATGATCAAAAAAAAAATTTTTTATTAATTACTTAAACTGTGGGAATTTTATTTGTGTATTGTACATCGCAAAACTTTTGAATGAACATCGTCGCTAGGATTTTGACATGACATGTGAACTTCTGGGAAATTTTATTTCACATTAATTACTGATTGAACGAAGTGTCTTTTTTATATATTATAATAGACAAAAGAAAATAAGTAAGTTTTTTTGATATGTATACAGTTTTTAAAACAATATTTGTGATAATAAAAGTTTGAAGTACTTTAAAAAGGGTATTTACAATTTTAATGTGTGTTTGTGTATAAGTAATCAATTTTTTTATTGCATTTTTGCAGCTGAGAACGCTTATTAACTATAAAACATAGATATCAACTCTAAATTGTTGCGAATATTCATTTTTTTCTCACTTAAGCAATATGAAGGAAGAGGGTGGTAAGGAGGATTTAGCTGATCCAGTTGGCTTTTTAAAGGATTTTGCTGCTGGTGGCATATCTGCAGCTATATCCAAAACGGTTGTGGCGCCAATCGAGCGTGTAAAACTGTTGCTGCAAGTGCAAGCAATTTCTAAGCAGATAAAACCTGAAGATAAATATAAAGGAATTGTAGATTGCTTTATACGAATCCCTAAAGAACAAGGCGTGGCGTCTTTTTGGCGTGGTAATCTTGCCAACGTCCTAAGATATTTCCCAACACAAGCACTAAATTTTGCTTTCAAGGATAAATATCAGCAGGTAAATTCAT